GAGTGCCTCCGATCCTGTGATTCTCTGTGTGACATCCTTGATCCGTGTAACTTCTGATCCAGTAGAGATATGAAGGTGATTCCAGTGAGTGAATAGGGGTTAAATTGGCCGTAGATTCCATTTCTGACGTCCATTTTTCCATATCTTGAGTCCTTCATTGATAAATAATAAAATTTTGAATTTTCTCCCTTCATACACAGGAATAATGACCACATCGGGAGGGGCTCCTCCCGACGAGCTGGTACACAGACCAGCTCGCCGGGAGGAGCCCCTCCCGATGTGGTCATTATTCCTGTGTATGAAGGGAGAAAATTCAAAATTTTATTATTTATCAATGAAGGACTCAAGATATGGAAAAATGGACGTCAGAAATGGAATCTACGGCCAATTTAACCCCTATTCACTCACTGGAATCACCTTCATATCTCTACTGGATCAGAAGTTACACGGATCAAGGATGTCACACAGAGAATCACAGGATCGGAGGCACTCAGCCGGAGGGTATATTGCATGGGGGTATATTGCATATTGCATATTGAATTCCTTTTATCCATATTGAATTCCTTTTATACTCACAGAACCACAAGTTGGCCACCAGTTGTACCAGTTAAATTCCCATTTATTCAGCCACAGAACACATGAATTCCTTTCTTACAGCTTGCATATAAAAGGGATGCATTGTAGATAGTCTAGCCAAAATCCCTCAGGATTTTCAAGGATAGGGCAGCTAAAATGCCTCACCCAGGGGGTCCCTTGGGGCTAAAATCCCTCATATTTTACTATATAAGGAGGCCTCTGCCTGCCAGTTGTTTTCCTCCTCATCCCACTCAGTACACATTTTTGGTGGGACACCTGTCACAGATATTTATTACACAAGAGGTTCACAAGTAGTACAGTTCACAGTCTGAAATATATACACAGTTTCACAAACATTACACAGAAGAACCAGTCCTTTGTTCCAGTCCTGGTTGAAGCATAGTGCTCCCAGTCCCTTTGGGTTCAAGAACCACCTCTATTACATATACAGCATTAAGGAAGAACACAAGTATCAAGACATCAAGACGAGAAACAACATCACCAACTCAATCAATTCTTTGGACAACAAGATCAACCTTCAACAATTATACAACCATCTTTGAACATAATCCATTATCACCAACCAAACTGCCAAGCTTACCTTGGTGGTCTTGTTTTCTGATAATATAGAAAGGCAGAGTTTGCAGCTCATTTCATCCCTTTCTCCATTCAGCAAAAAGGATCTTACAATCACTTTTTGAGTCTTACAAGGGAGTCCCCAAAGTGATAAGGATTACGGTATAATTGAAGAAGGATCAAATTCTAGAAGAACAGCAAGAAGAAGAATCAACACGGATAGTCGACACTCTTGAAGGATTTTGCGAGGAACAAATTTGTCAACCACAACTGTCATCAAGTAAAGAAGAAACATCAAGTTAACCTGAAGATCGAATAGTCAAGTGATAAAACCTATTAACGAGCGAAAACTACTAAACCTCTGAAAGAAGAAGAAGAAGATTTGTGACTCTAGTTCTGACAGACGTATCTCAAAGGAAGCAGCCAGTTATATCCCAGAAGAAGGAAGACCACCGAAGGATTTGGATAACTGGATCCTGTTTGAAGCGAACGTTGGAGCCCACTCGAAGGAAGCAGACGATTATATCCCAGAAGAAGGAAGACCACCGAAGAATCTGGATAACCGTATCCTGCTAGAAGAACACTCCCAGCTACTAGTATTGTTACTGAGAAAACCCCCAACTTGCCCTGGTAAAGAGACCAGAGACCATTTTTGAATTGAAAATCAGAGTTTAGTAGGATTAGTATCTGAAGAAATTGTGACCGAAGACGCGGAGAATTTTTGAGAGAAAAATTTTGGGGGCAACAAAAATGAATTTCTTGGACTGACTCAAGGGTCGGGAAAAGAATGAGAGAGCCAATGAGTTTTTTACTTAGAGGAGACTACGCGTTAAATAGTCTACATACAAGAGGTCAAACATGTGGTTGAGAGAAAGAATGAATGTCATAATGAATAACAAAAAATGAACAAATTCTTGAATAGATGACTGGAGCAAATGACTATTGATAAAGACTAGACCAGGGTTCGAAGACTACAAGGATTGCAGCACTAGACAACAGGACAAGATACCACGCAGAAACCAACAAAAATTGTATAATAAATTGAATTCTATTATTTAATCATTATTAATTAAAAGACTAAACAGAACAGGATTTTTAGGGATGAGGAGAGAGAGAGATGAAATTCCAACAGTATCCAAACATAGTATTAAATCACAACAACTAGGAAGTCAACAGGAACAACATGAGTTTACCATATACCGTGCCAGATTTGGAAGACGGATTTGCTTTAACAACACCTTTGGGAAATAGACCATTTGCGTCAGGATTGAATTTGAACTGGACTCAAGGATTTACGGCACCACCACCACCAATGAAGAAGGATAAGGGGAAGATGCCAGCTGATCAATACAGAGAACCACCGATTGAGGAAGAAATGTCAGACTCAGAAGATCCTACACCACAGAGACAAGCCAAGCAAACGGAACCTCCGGTGACTGGATATGGATTACATAATGCGAGAGGATCAGATGGTGAACCGACGGAGAGAAGATATGGACCAAGGATCATCAAGGAACCGGGACTTGTTTACGACGGGACCAATTTCACACGATTTCTAGCGAGATACGAACGAGCGGCTTTGGCGTTTCAGGCATTGGACTACGAAAAGGCGGTACAGATTGGACGATTTGTACATAAGGAGGAATTGAAGTTGGAACTTGAGGCGATGGAAGGTTACGACAGCTTCAACTGGAAAGAATTAAGGAAGGCAATGAAGGAGAGTTGGGGGGAATTGGACAACACTATTCTGTATACTACGGCGGATTTGGTCAAAATTGTGGAAGAATAGTCCAGAAAGGGAGGACTGAAGGACTACAAAGAGTACAAGGCTTACTTGGGAAAATTCACCACTATCTTGAAATATCTCGTGGATAATGAACATTTGAACAAGAAGCAGGATGCATCACTTCTTTTCATAAGTGCATTTTCTAAAGAAAGTCAGAAGAACATCAAGAGGACTTTAGTCAGTAACGGACAACTCCCAAAAGGACCAGACGGTAGTAGTAAACCTCCACTGTGGAAACATGTTACAGAAGCAGCGGATACAGAAATTAGGGTTGAAGAGGAAGGATACTTTGAGTTTTCAGGCTTCTCCGAGGCCAACAGGCGAATGCAACGGGAACTGGATCAGAAGAAAGGTGATGGTCAGCGACAAGAACAGATGATATCCGGAGCTCCAACTGGAAAGGTGGTCGAGAAACAAGTAGAAGACATGATTCAGGAGATTGCTTCACTAAAACAACAGTTGAAGAGTGTATTACCTGTTTACAGCCAGCAAGGATCAGAAAAATCAGAATTCTCACGTGGAAACGCCAGGCCCTCTGCACCAATTTACGAGAGTATGATGTGTTATTATTGCCACAGAGAAGGGCATTCAACCTATAGATTTTCAGAATTATTTAAGGATGAAGAACAAGGACTAGTGAAGCGGAACGGGAAAGATTGGTATCTACCGGATGGGCAACATATTCCATGGAACCCCTCAAGACCAATTCGAACCATAGTTGCAACAGCTTCAGCAGACGCAAAGATGCAAGAACTCTCAAGGAATGCAACCCAGACGGAAACAAATCAGACTGCGGGAATCATGAAGTCTTCAGCTCAAACCATTGATTGGGATCCACCAACTTTAGGAGCGGAAAATTTTCTAGGAACTCACGCAATAACTAGGTCTGATGCGCAGAAAGGAAGACAAACCGTCAGGATTCAGGAGCCGACAAACGAGGAACAGATGGATGTGGATCAAGAGGAAGAAGTGGCCGAGATTTTGCCGAATCCTCCGAAGAAGCCAGCTGAGAAGGTTTGGAGTAAGGACAGAATCTCAGCCATGAAATCCAAGGATGCAAGTCCAGAGGAAATTTTGCTTCAGGAAATAGACAATGTCAAAATTCCGACCACTTTTGCTCAGCTCACGGCTATATCACCAGCATACACGTCCCAAATCATTTCAAAATTACAGAACAGACTCCCGGAGAAAAGTTCCGCAACTTACATAGCAACGGAATCAGCCAAGGTTTCTGCAATGGAACTCAATTCAGATCAAGAAGACACAGATCCTTGCTATTACAGTTACGCTCTTGGTTATGTCACCGCAGAAATTGGAGGTTCAAAAGTGGATTTTATGATTGATTTGGGCTCAATGGTCAATGTTATACCCAGCTCAGTTGCCCAAGATTTAGAACTGGAAGTGGTCAAAGTAGATATACCTATGAAAGGAGTTGGAGGAGCCAGATGTGATTTGAGTGGAGTAGCAGAAAACTGTCCAGTAACAATTGGAAGATTCTCAGGACCGGCTCATATATTTGTCTCTCCAAAAGCACAGGACTGTATCCTTGGACGACCATTTCTTTTTGATTACAAGTGTAATTTAGAATATCATGAAAGGGGTGAAACTTTCATTTTTCAAGGAGCAAATGGAAGAAACGTATCAGTACCACTTGCAAAAACAGGAAAGGGTAAAGGTTGGAATAACATGAAAGATCTCAGCACTAACAGTATGAAGCCTTTTTTACAGGAGGAAAAATCCCGAAAAATTTCAAAAACAGAATCAGCCAAGCCTTTTTTCTGATTCCCGGTGTTCACTTAAGGAATTACTCACTAAAGCTAGTCAAGCGAGTTGCATTCCGAACGCCGGGTCTTCTAGACTGGCTTAAAAATATTTTCTTTGATTTTTTTCAGAAGCTTACAAAGAAGATAAAAATTGTTTTCATGAAGGTAATGTTGTGTAGAAAGAATTTTTTAATCAGTTTTATTTCACTTTTAAAAATTTTCAAAAGTGGTACAGCTCAATTCAAAGAATCAAGAAAAACAGGGCAAGACTTACCAGAACATTCACACAATTTACCTGAACCAGATGTCAACAAACAAGAAGTAGATTTTGCTGCACCAGAAAAGGAAGTGGAAGATGCTGACAAAACTACAGAAACTGATGATGAAGAAAATTTGGATAATTTTTTTCAACAGGAAGAAACAGATCAGTCCAACTCCACAAAGTCCAGCAATAATAGTTCAAACACTCAAGAGTTTCACCTTAGTAAAGTTTCTCCAGAAAATTCCAAATTTCCTTTAAATCCAAAAGACAAAGAGTTTCAAGAGATCAACAAGCTTAAGAACAAGATTTTCAACAAACACCTGTTTAAACCTCATTCAAATCTTCACAGAAAAATTCAAAACTGTTACTGCACTCCTTTTGAAAAGTCAGATCTCAAGAATTTTGGCTATGTGGAAAATGAAGGAGAGGGATGGGATAATTCTTCTATTTTTGATTCAAGTTCTATCACATATTTTCAGCCAATCAGCTCAATTATCTTGACCCAAGCTCTTCCAGATCAAAATTTCCCTACTTCAGAAGATCAATTTCATATTTTACCAGAATCAGTTCCACCAGATATAGATAGAAACAGGTACATCTGGGAACATAACAGATAAAATATAACTAACATCAATAATATATATAAAAAAAAAAAAAATCCAAGCATAACTCATAAAATACCAAAAACATATCAGTTTCATACTCATTTTTGAAAAGTTGGGGGAGGAGATTCACCTCTGATGAACTCAATCTTGAATCAAGTTTTTCTATTTTTTTCTTCTTTTAGGAATGGTTGAGGACAACCATTTAAGTTGGGGGAGGGGGTTTCTTTGTCTTTTCATTATCAAATTTCAAAATTTATTTATTTTTTTACTCTGCAACTCTTATAGCAAGGTTTTCCAGATAAAGCCTTACTTGATTTTTTGGCCGGTTCAGTTTACGAGGACAAGACATACAATTGATTGCTTATAAACTCAGCTGGATAAGGATCAAAGGTTTTTTTTTTTTTTTAAATTTTTTATATACAAGTTTATCTAGACTGCAACATCATTTGAGGTTATAGAAGGAGAAGCGACTCAGAAATCAAAACTTTGCTGCTCTCACTGCTCTGAATTGATACCAGCTCAAACCAACAAAGAGGAAGTGAAAATAATCGACCTAGACAGTTTTGAAGACACAGCATAATCTTGCGATCAGTCTTGGACCGACTCCACTGGACAAGATCAATGCTACAGTTTCAATCCAACATGAAACCTTACCTCAGAATTCTCAAACCACACGAGAGAGCAAATTAAAAATCAATTCAATCCAAGGATTGTTGAAAATCCAGAACGACTACAACATGAAACGGACATCATTCCTTACCTCGGTTTAACAGACACAACACGATAAATGATCAAGACAACAGGGGAAGAAGATGTTAGACTTGAAGGAAGCAACGGTCAAACAGATATTAGCTGAGTATTGATATTGGGTGGTATTGCCTATGAATACCACCCAATATTTGGGCTAAGTATAGTATTGGGCCCCTGGCCCAATACTTTTTATTCATGGGCACAAGTATTGGGCAGCCAATAGAATAAACTTTATTCATCATTAATCTATTGGCCCAGCCAATAAAATAAAATAATATACTTTAAAATTATCAGTGTGGAATTCAAAAAACCACCAAACCACACCCTCTCTCCTTGCAATACTGCATCCTCACCCTAGTAAGTAAGGTAAGTTTTTTTTTGGATCAATCAATCTGATTGCTGATATCCTTTTTTTTGGATCAATCAAGCAGGTTATCAGACTAGTTGAGGCCTTCCTGCCAGGCCGTTACCGCTCCGCTACCACCACCGAGCCCCATTCAATCCTTGTTGATCGATTGAGGCGATTATTCTGCTTCCACCACTCAAACCTCTACGATCATTGCTGATTGATTGAGGTGCCAGTTTTGCTGCCGTTGCCGAGCTCGTTTGATCCTCGCTGATCAATTGAGGCCTTTGCTTGACAGCTTCCGCCACCGAGCCACTGTGGTTTTAGATCGATAAGTGCCTTTGCTCGACGGCTACCGCCACCGAGCCACTGTGATTGTAGATTGATCAGTGAGAAACATTCAAATCTTCATGCTATTCATCCAACTAATGACCGTCTCAGAATTAATGCTAACAAAGTATTACTCTGTTCCTGATTGCAGGAGTGAGACTTCGTTGCCAGCTTGCTGTTTGAGCTGGATCACTTTGGTTGTTCGTTCTTGGACAGAGCTCGCTTGGACACCGTCCAATTCCTAGACTCTCCCAAAGTTTCCGTTTGATCTGTGGTCATCGATCAAGGCGCTTAAACTACTGCCGCCACTGAGGACTCTACATTCATCTTCGATCGAGGTGCGACAGAGCTCGCTTGGAGCCGACACCTCCCAATTCCTAGACTCCACCAAAGTGCCCGTTTGATCTGTGGTCATTGATCTAGGCGCTTACCCTACTGCCGCCACTGAGAACTCTACAATCGTCTTTGATTGAGGTGCCAGTTGTGCTGCCGCCGCCGAGCCCGTTTGATCCTCGCTGATCAATTGAGGCCTTTGCTTGACAACTCCCGCCACCGAGGCGTTTGATCCTTGCTGGTTGATACAATCACTCTTTCCGCTGCTGCCAGTCCACCCAGCCCTCTTCCATCATCGCTGCTTGATTGAAGCAATTGTTCTACTGCTGCCACCCTCAATCCTCACTGATTGATCGAGGCCAATTGGACTTCAGGCTCTGTCTATGACCTGTGACATCCTTGTGAATCTTGTGTACAATCCTCCATCTTTTTTCAACTTTAATGCCAAACACTGACACCTCTGTTCACATTTTCATAGACATTCTTTTTGATTTTGTGATCAAAAGGCAAATAAACAAGGCAAGTACTCCATTATTTTTTCTCTTTCTCAGGCTTACTGTCTTTGCACAGGGGTTGACTTTTGACCCCCTCTTCTGTTCATATTCTGATAGACTGGTGTTTTCTTTTCACAATCAATAGGCACAAAAACCAGGTGGGTTCTTCATGGTTTTCTTAATCTCCTTTCAAATTTTTTTCTAGTATCTCTGTCTATATAAAGGGAGTCAACCCTGACGCCCTGTTTTGTTTTCATTCCAATAAGCGGCCTTTCACCAATTGATTGAAGGTTTCTTTGATCAGAATTCCAACTCACCTGTCACACAACTTTCACAATCCCCAACAAACTTCCCCACAACTCAAACTCAACTCTCTTCCTCTTTTCACTTCTCACCTTGTTCACTCAAACCTTAGCTACCAAAAATGTTTGTTCATTCTTATTTTCATCTTCTTTCATTCACCCCAATTCTTATTTTTTTCTAACTTTTCTTCATCAGAGTAATCAATCTTCATTTTTTTTGGCTTTTGACGGGTGCCTCCCCCAAGCCTCTATCCCATCATCACTGATTAATTGAGTATTTTTTTGATTGGTTCCGCCACCAGTGTGGACACTTGGACTGTTATTCTCTTATTGCCAGTAGTGCTTGATCATAGATCAGCTTTGTTTTTTTTCAGATTGATCCGCCACCAACATCCTCAGCTGTAGTAGTTCTGCTTTGGTCACACAGAAATGGCCAGATCCTCCGTTACTCCTCGCGGAACCCCCTCTAGACTACCCTCCCGTCAGTCTACTCGTATTGTCACTCCAACCACAAGCTCTAGCTACGTTAGGCCTAGCCGTGACTTGCAAAGGTCAGTTGGACCAACTAGCCAATCTCAACAAAAGGGGAATAGTCTTGATTCCGAAAGCGAAGCCGAGTCTGTTGTTCAAATCCCGTCAAATCAGCAATCCAAGAAAAAGCGCACACGTAAACCTCCTTCAACCAAGCAGCACAAGAGAGCAAGGTCCTCCATCACTACCAACACAGATGATGATTCTGACGAAGTGGACGGTGTCATCGATCACACTCAAGACTCAGACAAAGAAAACTCAAAGGTCCAGGGATCAAGCAAGAAGAAAACTAGTAACCTCGACAATATCCGTGAGTACTTTGAGGCCCCATATCATGCTGAACAAACGGACGAAGACGAAGTAAGTTTCTGAACTCTGATCAAACATAGAGAATCATCAGATAAAGTTACTGATGATATAGTTTTCCTTTATTAAGGGAGAGAAACTGAGTTTCAAGTGCAAGTGGTGCAGTAAACCCTACAAGAAGGGTCTCGGAACAAACTCAAACCTGCTCAAGCACCGCGATGGCACTAAGAAGAGTGCACCCTGCTCAGGACGATTGGCGGCCATTGAGGCGGGGTGCAAATTGCCATTGTCGAAGAAAGATATTGCAAAGAAGGACAATGATCGACACCAAACAAAGGTCAAGGGATCTCTGACACATGCTGCCTTTGACAACAGGGTCTTCAATCAACTCCTGTTAATCTGGCTGATTCAATATTTATATGCCCTGGAAACGGTTTGACGACTTCCTACTTCAAGTCACTTTCAATTACGTCAGGCACGGTGTCTCCATATATTGTTTGACTTGGGCGGCCACCGAGGCACATCGTCTCTATATGAATTTACAGAGCAAAGTGATTACAAGCTTACAAGTGGGTTAATCCCTCAAAGATATCTGTTATTTGGAAGCACTCATCTGACTTTGAACATGATTCTGATTTTCCAGAAACTGAGCTCTAAATTTACCCTGATCCACGATGTCTGGACCACTAAAGGCAATCACCACGCATTTCTCGGGATCTCAGTTGCTTACATCACTGATGATTGGGTCTTCAAAATCTCGCATCTTGGAATGAAGTACATTGCATCCAGCCACAAGGGAAAGCTTTTAGCAATCCCATTTGCAAACATTCTGAGAAAGTCAAAACTTCAAGAGAAGATACGTCTAGTTCCTTTGTATTTGTTTTGCTTGTCTGATCAGATGAACCAACACAATTCTTTTTTATTTCAATACATCTTGGCTCAGACAACCGACTCTGGATCAAACAACTTCACCATGGCTTCTGACACCTGTGGCTGCAAAATTCTTCCATGCCAAATGGAGAAAATTCATGCACACATCATCCATTTTGGAATGGAAGATGGCTGGAGCTGAGCTCGCCCAACTTTTTCAGCTCATCCAGCTCAGTCAGCTCTTGGACCCAGCTCATCCAGCTCAGTCAGCTCAATTCAGCTCTCAGACCCAGCTCAGTCAGCTCTCAGACCCAGCTCCGTCAGCTCTCAGACCCGTCTCATCCAGCTCATCCAGCTCATGAGGTCCACTAAAATACAAACACTAAATCCTCAGTCCAGTCTGCATAGCCTAGTCAGCTAAGCCTACCCTCCACCTCCCCTGAGGTTGTGGGTTCAAGACCCACCAAAGGCAGCTCCAATTTAGGGGTTAGGGGTCAGGTTAGGGGTCAAAATTAGGGGCTAGGTTAGGGGCTAGGTGAGGGGTTAGGTTAGGGGTTAGGTTAGGGGTTAGGTTAGGGGTTAGGTTAGGGGTTAGGTTAGGGGTTAGGTTTAGGGGTTAGGTTTAGGGGTTAGGTTTAGGGGTTAGGTTTAGGGGTTAGGTTTAGGGGTTAGGTTTAGGGGTTAGGTTCAGGGGTTAGGTTTAGGGGTTAGGTTCAAGGGTTAGGTTTAGGGGTTAGGTTTAAGGGTTAGGTTTAAGGGTCAGAGTTTAGGGGTTAGGTTTTAGGCATTAGGTTTTAGGGGTTAGGTTTTAGGGGTTAGGTTTTAGGGGTTAGGTTTTAGGGGTTAGGTTTTAGGGGTTAGGGTTAGGGGTTAGGGGCTAGGGTTAGGGGTTAGGGTTAGGGATTAGGGTTAGGGGTTAGGGTTAGGGATTGGGGTTAGGGATTGGGGTTAGGAATTAGAACCGCCCGTTAACCTGGGGTTAGGTTTAAGGGGTTAGGGTTGTGGTTAGGGTTAG